TGTATTTGTTTTTCCACGAATTTGCCGAGCAACACCTTGTGGGTATTCGCGGCATGACCTTCGTCGAGCTGACCGAGCTGATGAAGAAAGCCGCTGCACAGAGAAGCCAGGAAGGAGCTGCCTAATGTCCCTAAGACTCGATATCAAGCGCTCCGGCTCCCTGACGAACTATTTCAGCAACGTTGTGCGCTCCCGCTTCAAGTGGTTCTGGCGCTTCATGGGCATGTTCCCTTGGATCAGCGACCTTTCCACCATCGTTCTGCTGCGGGCGATGGAAAAAACCATCCCGAGAATTCCCGACCAAACGACCCATCACGACTACAAAACTTATGACGGTTTGTACGATGAGTCTCGCACGGTTCACGCCCTGCTCTTGCCGAAGATGTCCAAGGCCAAGACGTCCAAGCTTCCGGACGTGGACGAGGTGAAGGAGCTGTTCAGGCGCAAGGAATTCAAGCCCGAGGATCATCGCCAATCCAGCGTATTTTTCCCCTTCTGGGCGCAGTGGTTCGTTCACCAATTCTTCAATTCCTCAACGGAGGTGCCAGGTACCCCGCAGTGGCAGACCGGCTTCAATCTGAGCCAGCTCTATGGATCGTTCAAGCATGAGCAAGAAATGCGGACCTTCGATAAGGGGCGGATCAAAACCGAATCGGTGAACGGTGAAGAGTATCCGAGAACCACGGAAAACCAATTCAAGGGTTACAAAATCGCCGGCCATCAAGCCTTCATGGGAGACAAGGTTTTTGATGTTCCGGTTATGCCCTTCAACGCCCTGCCGGGAATCATGGCGATCCACACCGTGATGATCCGCAATCACAACCGTAACGCGGAACGTCTCGCCACCGCCTATCCGAGGATGGACGACGAGGAGATCTTCCAGAAAGCCAAGCTGATCAGCATCGCGCAGGTGATGAAGGTCACCATGGAAGACTATGTAAATAAACATATTCTGGCCTCCAACGTGGAGATTCGGTTCCGCCCCAATCTGCTCAAAACCCGTCATTGGCGCTATTTCAAACCGGCCAGCTTCATGCCGTCGAACAGCATTTCCTCGGAGTTCAACTTCCTCTACCGTTGGCATCAACTATTGCCG